AGCTGTCGAATGGTGGCGTTGAAAAGTAATGCAGGAAGCAATTCAGCCTCAGAGAGATTCGAGATGCAATCGGAGAAACGTGGACGTTTTGGGGTACGGATGCCTCAGGCAGCACCACCAAAAATAATTTATTGATTTTCTAAACTTGCAACTTGCAACACTTGCACATTCAATACCACACATCATGTCGCGCCCTGAAGATATCCTGTATGACAGCCTGATCCTACTCCACAGATCTTGAACAAACAAAAAAAACTAATCCCACATCTCGAAAACTCCAGCCCACCGGACCTGTTCTACAATGACAATGAATCGCGAAAGTATACGAAGTCCTCGCGAATTCGCAACATCCAAGCCAGCATGACCAGTCGCGCACTTGAACTCCTCGATCTAAAATCCCCATCCTTCATCCTCGATCTCGGCTGTGGCTCCGGTCTCTCCGGCGAAATGCTATCGGAAGTCGAGCCCGAAGAAGGTGGCCCGCACACATGGGTCGGGATGGATATTTCGCCCAGCATGTTGGACGTGGCTTTACAACGCGAAGTAGAAGGTGATCTATTCCTTGCAGATATCGGACAAGGCGTCCCATTCCGACCGGGTACATTCGACGCCGCAATCAGCATCAGTGCCATCCAGTGGCTGTGCAATGCGGAATCCAGCGATGTCAGTCCTGAAGGTCGTCTGCGACGCTTCTTTGAAGGTCTGTATGCCAGTCTTCGTCGGGGTGGACGTGCAGTCTGCCAGTTCTACCCGAAGAACGATGTCCAGCGGAGTATGATCAGTGGAGCTGCCATCAAAGCTGGCTTTGGTGCGGGTATCCTTGAAGATGACCCTGGCACTAAGAGCAGCAAGTTGTATCTGGTGCTGACTGTTGGTGGTGGTGGTTTGCCTGGTGATATTACTGGTGTTGTGAATGGCATGGATGATGTCAATGTCTTGGATGCGAGACGCAAGGCTACGGAGATCAATAATGCTCGTGGACCCCCGAGGAAGGGAGATAAGGCTTGGATTATGAACAAAAAGGAGCAGATGGCGAAGAAGGGCAAGGTCGTCAAGGCTAGCTCGAGATACACTGGTCGCAAACGACGAATCGCTTTCTGATTGAACTGCTTTGTTTACGCCGTTCGTCTTTGGTGGATTCAATCAAAAAAAAAAAAGAGAAGGAAAAGGAGAAAAAGTCTGGATGGAAAGAGTGTTCAAGTCATTCCCCTTCAAGTACATAACTTTCACCCATTCTGTCTGTGTATGCGCATTCCCCTGGGCGTTATTCACATGCCTGAATCGGAATTTGATCACATGGTCTTGTCGAGGGATGCTCATGGAGTTCACCTACAGGTTCAACTCGGCTCAAGTTAGTCGATCGTGAGGTGTCTGCTAGAGGCCTCGCAATGGGTTGGTGGCTTGGGGACTGAGCTCTTTACCTTCTGGGCACCGTGATATGAAGTTGGCCCATTGGAGATTCATGGCCTTCTTTGATGTTTATACCCAAAATTAATGCAATGAATGTCCATGTTATGATCACAAAAGAAAAAGTGTCTATTGCTATAATTTGCCGGTGAACGTTTCGAGCTAAATTGAAAGGAAAGATAATACATCAAATGAGGACCACGCCGACCAATTAACGGTGGAACACATTCCAAGAATCAGCAGGCAGCATCCTCAATCGTAGCGGAGGTATATTGGAGCGCGGGGGATTCCAAAATTTACAGAGACGCCTCCATCTTGTCCAGAACAGCCCGGGTGAACTCGTGAGTGGTAGCCTGACCACCCATATCGCGGGTCATAGTGCGGCTAAAAAGAAAGTCAGTATAGTCCTTTTTCACTAGGGTGTATGGTTCACTCACCCTTCACCGATAACATCGTAGACAGCCTTGGAAATGCGGTTGGCGTGATCATCGAGACCAAGGTGGCGCAGAAGCATGGAGCCAGACAGAATCATAGCACTGGGGTTGGCCTGATCCTTGCCCTTGATGTCAAGACCGACGTGACGGCAGCCAGGCTCGAAGACAGCAACGTCACGGCCCATGTTGCAACCGGGGACGACACCGGGTCCACCAACGAGGGCAGCACCGACGTTGGACAGAATACCACCGTAAAGGTTGGGCATGACCATAACGTCGAACTGCTGGGGGCGGGAGACAGCCTGCATGGAAGCGTTGTCGACAATCATGTCCTCCACCTCCAGGGTGGGGTACTCCTCAGCGACCTTGTGGAATGTGCTGCGGAAGAGACCATCGGCCAACTTCATGATGTTGGCCTTGTGAATGCAGGTAACCTTCTTGCGGTTGTTGGCAAGAGCGAAGCTGAAAGCGAATCTGGCGATACGCTCGGACTTGGCGCGGGTGATGATCTTCAGGGACTCGACAACACCGTTGACGGACTGGTGCTCGAGGCCGGAGTACTCTCCCTCGGTGTTCTCACGGATGATGCAAAGGTCGACATTCTTGTGGCGAGTCTCGTAACCGGGGATGTTCTTGATCAGAGAGATGGAGGCGTAGATGTCCAGCTCCTGACGCAGGGCAACGTTGAAGGACTGATGGCCAGAGCGCTCAATGGGAGTGTGGAGGATACCCTTCAGACCGAGCTTGTTGCGCTTGAGGGAAGCCAGGGACTCGCGGAAAAGCTCCTCGGAGTGCTTGTTACCGGCGTCAACACCGCTAACATCGACCTGCTCCCACTCAATGGGGACGTTGTCGGCCTTGAAGATGGTCTTGACCGATTCGGCGACCTCGGCACCGATACCGTCACCTTGTCGAGTGTTAGTCCAAAGCATGCGCAATGCAAGCAGAGAATTGCGCAAAATATGTGAGGCATACCAGGGATGAGGGTCACGGTGTACTTGCCACCGTACTTGGTGGGCTTGAAGATGTCCGACTGAATGCTGGCGAAGGCTGCGCAAATTGGTTAGCGGGGGATTTCGAGACAGGTAAAGATCAATGGCGTACTTCTGGCGGGAATAGAGCGACCAAGAGACGAAGCTCCGGAAGCGCTGCGGAGCAGAGTCTATAGAGCAGGTTAGCGAAAGCCAGCTGGCTTGAAAACTGCGGAAACACGGAAACATGGAAGCATGAAAAAAGCAAATATGAAAAACTTACCCGAGCAGGCTGTGCCGTTCTAGAGAACATTTTCAAATGGTTAAAACAAAGAAATTGGGACAGAATTCACGAATCACCAAATTCGAGGGGGTTGGAAAAGGGAACAGTGAAAACGGGAAAAAAAGCCTCCGGATGGGCTCGGCATCGATGTGGTTAGCGCCGGCCCGATCTTATCTGAATGGATACACCTTAGGACTTCAAACAATGAAATATATCAACTCTACATCCTTATTCATTTACTTCCCCGAAACTTCAAGTTCTTTCGTCAATTCTTATTCATATCCTCTTCCGGTTGTCGAATGTCATAACCCTAATCTCAGTGGTCAACTCGAACAAAAGATATCTACGACCTTCACTAATATACTCTAGCTCAATCAACTTAGCTTATTAGCCTATTTGTCTATCAAAGCATTCGAGACGATGGCTTGCCATAGACCCTCTCGATATGAGACCTTCGGTTCATTATTGAAGTGGCAAGTGGACATCGATCAATAAGGACCCTATTCAGAACGGGCAACCTCGAACAGAACTTCTATTAGGCCTGATGTCGATCGACTCAGAACTCTATTCAGGATCATGCCTCTATTCAGAGTAAACGAGTTCTTCGAACTCATGCCCAACATACTCTTCTCAATAACGAGACTACTATTGAACTAGTCATGATACCTGATCTTCACAAATATATAAACCTCATTGCAGCTCGTCTTCTCCGATTCTTTTCTCCAGACATCTCCATCATCGAGCTTTCTCAGTATCTGTCCTTTGCTCTTCAAACCAATCTTCCAATTCCAAACCCCTGGTTACTCCCTCAACGATCAAGATGAAGGTCACCTCCGTTTTCGTCGCTGTTCTCGCCGCTGGCACTGTCCAAGCCGCCGCTGTTGCAGGTAAAGGTGGTCCCAACATTACCCTCCCCAAGTGGTGTGGCCACATCGGCCAGGGCTGCAAGCGAACTGCCGATGCCTCCATCGATGTCAAGCGCTCTGCCGATGCCCTCGCCGAGGCCATGGCCTCAAACTTGCCCATGGTCCTTCAGAAGTGGTGTGGTCACATTGGCCAGGGCTGCTACAAGGCCAAGCGTGCCGCCGATGCCGTCGATGAGGTCAAGCGTACCAGCGACGCTCTCGCTTATGCCATGGCTGCTCTCGAGGAAGAGGATGATGAGTAAAGGTACGTTACAGTTTCATCTATCCTGTTCATGGAATCAATTGACTGACTTTTCCCAGTGTCTCCTTTACTTTGAGTCCCTTGGTGCTGCATGTATCAACAGAGCTTGCTCGATAACTCTCTTTTCGGTCACCGATATGCACACCTTCGACCACTTTTTCGATTTGAAAGCTTTCAGGGAAGCCCGGTTGGCATGTGATGGATGCGTTATGAAAATGCCAATGGCGAACACTCTTTATCTTCACCATTTGTCATGGCATTGATTTCTGGTAAATCAGCATTTGAATTGTGGGGGTTGATGGATCGTTACTCGAAGAATATGTATCTAGAATCAAAGAAATCCATCCCCTTTTGACACACTTTATTCAAAATACCAACGACAAGATGCTCCGTAAGCTTAGGCCGCTAAATCAGACGTTGTAGAAAAGTTGTTTTGTACATTTAAACGCCTATTTTCTATATTTTGGGGGCTAATTATTCTTATACTTCAGACTATAGGACTAGTAAAGGGAAGAGATATCCGAGATACCACCAGAAAGACTACTGGCAAGTCTTAACCAAGGCCATATAAGCGGCCAGCTATTCTTGTTTGGTATATATTCCTTAGGCTGAGGGAGCTTTTACAATGTTTCCTTTAGACTAGTTGGGGCAGATAAATGCAAAGGTGTTACAAGAACAAAAATGATATGGAGATATATACACAAGGAATCCGTTTCAACAGACCTATTTCAGACAGAACTAATGGTGGTATACACCACAGCTAGGGTAATATCGTCCCATCTCCTGAAATGCGCCATATTGTGATTCCATCGGAGCATCTCTTGACATCTCCCACCATTGCTGACCTTGATACACAGGATCCTTTGAGCCAACATAGGATTCACCAGTGGTGGGCTCTTTCGGGAGATGAGGGGCTTGGTTGGCAGTGTTTTCGTACCCAGATACCATGTAGGGTTCAGCATCAGCATATCCATTTCCATCTGCAGGGTCATCCATAGCAGAATCATGCATAGAAAAGTCCCCACCAGGAGCAGTATTGGCATCATTTCCAAACTTCGAGTAGAGCTGCCATGTTTGGATCAGCCGTTCTCTTTGTTCTGTGTCGGCGTTTTCAAAAAGGGCAAGTTGGTCCTGAGTAAGGGTGTTTGGGTCAAGACCGTGATGTCTCAGCACATCAATGCTTAAGGGCTCTGTGTGCTGGACGACTCCGTGGGCTGAGTGATGGTAGTGTTGGGTAATGCTGTATGCAGGTTCTGGCGCTTGAGGTGGTACAAGGGTCTCTCTAGGGGCGGGATGCATCTGTGTCATACTCATTTGTCTATCAAACAGAGCGGAAAGTTCGTCTTGCACTTTCGAGTTGCTTTCTGAAGCAGACATGCCGCACTATATATATATATATACCTGGTCAGGTTCCTTGGTATAGAAAGACAAGAACGAATGCAATCTACCTGTTTACAGTGAGGGTTCTCGATAAAGGCCGCAAGTGCATTTGAGATATCGGAGACGTGCCCGCAGTGCGGGCACTGATGTAGTATGGAGGAAGACATGGCGGGGTGGATTTCTGTCTAACTCAACAATATCCGAACGAATGGGAAATGTAGAAACTTGTTTGTTCCCTGTAAAACTGAATAGGAGAAAGAATTTAAAGCGTTGTGTTTTTTTATTTAGGTCGAGGGGGCAAAGATGCCCAAGTCCTTGTTCGGTTGGGCTGCAGTCGCAGGGGCCACTAGGAGATGATCATATGTTATACCGCATATCATGTCTATAATATACCCATCATGAGCCCATAATATATCCATTGTATATCCAAAATATACACAATACTATAAGGTACTTAAGTAGTACACTCAAAGCTTGTAAAGAAGACATACAAACCAAAGTACCAATTAGGTATCTCGCGGTCATGTGACTGGAAGCTCTGCCAGGCAACCCCGTGACGCGACAGCGTCACTGCTAGTGCCTAGGAACCTCCGTTATCATCCCCAGAGCTTCCAACCTCACCCTACCTATCCACCGTCACCCTCCAACCCGGCCATTCCCTTCCCTTATCTGTCCAATATACAGATTAACTCCTTCGGCCCACCCACAGTGACGTCTGTTGTTCTTGAACCTCACCGCATCGCATCCTCACCAAAATCATGGTCAGTCAGCTTTGGATCTACACAATATGACATACGGTATCCCAATCAAGCTAACAGAGTGATTATTCAGACGTCAATCGGCACAGGCTACGATCTCTCCAACTCGGTGTTCTCGCCAGACGGCCGGAATTTCCAGGTAACCCAAACACAACCCAGCTTCTGAACGAGCCACAGAATCCAGCTTCACCTTGCTGACCATATACCATCTAGGTCGAATATGCTGTCAAGGCAGTTGAGAATGGAGGCACCGCTGTCGGAATCAGATGCAAGGATGGTGTAGTGTTGGCAGTTGAGAAGATCATCACGAGCAAGCTCCTAAAGCCAGGCGCGAACAAGAGAATCGCAACAGTCGATCGTCATGTCGGAATTGTGAGCTCCCGTTTTCCTTTTATCCATATGACCTTTTCCCAACGCAATGCGTTTCCATCGAAACCATGCTATCAGGGAAGGCTGCAAAGTACCCGTTGCTAATCTGGACTCTTTCTACCAATATAGGTATCCGCTGGCCTCGTTCCCGACGGTCGTCACTTCGTTTCCAGAGCTAGAGATGAGGCTTCCTCCTGGAGAGGCACATACAAAGGTCCCATTCCGACCTCTGCGCTTGCCAATCGCTTGGGTGGTTATGTGCAGGCATACACCCTCTACTCCAGCGTACGGCCCTTCGGTGTAACTGCTATTGTTGGCGGATGGGATACCGAGGCGGAGCTTCCAGTTGATGGACAGGTTGGCACTGGACCCAAGTCCGGCTCTGGTGGAAAGGTTGAGGGTGCCAAGGCTGGAGGTCCTGGCCTATACATGATCGAGCCTAGTGGACTGTATTGGGTATGTTGCGACTTGTTGTGTATTTGGTTGTATATGCTGACAAGAATAGGGATACTACGGTGCTGCTACCGGCAAAGGACGACAGGCTGCCAAAGCTGAACTCGAGAAACTAGACCTCACTTCGGGTAATCTGTCTTTGGCAGATGGTGTGAAGGAAGCTGCCCGTATTATCTATGTTGCCCATGAAGACAGCAAGGATAAGGATTTCGAGCTCGAGATGACGTGGATCAGCTCGTTCGATGGACCGACCAAGGGTCGTCATGAGGAAGTGCCCAAGGAGCTCCTTGAGGAAGCAGAGAAAGCAGCCAAGCGCTCTCTGGAAGGGGACGATGAAGAAGAGGAGGACAAGGGTCAAGGCGAACAGATGGAAGAGTGAACATGTAATAGATTATGCTCCCAAAGAATTATGGTTCTGTGAAGGTGTTTTTCCTTTCATACTCCAAAAATAAACCTACGAAGATCCAAATTTAGGTTCCAAAAAGCCACACCAAATATGTTAGAGGGTTCCAACGTAGCCCTCAAACCCCAAAAGATACAATATCCATCAATCTATCGCAAGAAATTACAAAATCTTGCCCTCAGCCCACTCCTTCCTCTTCAATCCCAACTCCACAGCAGCACTACCCCAATCCTCGCCATGGTTGTGCATACCACTATTTCCAAGACCAGCCCGTTCCAATCCCTGCTGTTCCGTCAGAACAGTAAGCAATCCAAAGATGACAGGGACACCAGAATCAAGCTGCACACGCATGAGACCATGGCTGACAGCATCAGCGATATATTCAAAGTGCATAGTAGCGCCCTTGATGAGAACACCGATGGCAATAATAGCATCGAAAGGCTTCTTGGGGGTTGTGGACTCGGTTGAACCGGAGACTTCAGTTGTGGGCGATGCCAGGAGATCGGTGGCGCTGATGCCCTCGCCGGAGGAGTTGGCCTGGAGCTGGGAGGCGGCGTAAAGGCTGTAAGGAAGTGTTAGTTAAAGTTTTTTGGGAGATATGGTAGCTATAGTAGCTATAGTATGGCAGATTATCACTGACCGTTGCACTGCGAGAGGCAGCTCGTAGCTGCCCGGAACTGTCTGGACTGTGATATTTTCCGCGGTCACGCCGGCTGCGAGGAGGCTCTTCTTTGCTCCTGATACCAGTTGTTCGATGATGACTGTGTTCCATCTAGCGTGCACGATCGCAACGCGGAGTCCAGAACCTGTGAAATCGGTATTAGCTAGGGAGTTTCCCCGAAGGGAAATTGCTTTTACCATCGTGGGTCTGGGCAGCACCGGGGCCTTTGATAGTAGTCATTTTGTTGAGTGGGATGGTTAATGTAAAGAAAGAGAGAAGTTGTTTGGAGGATTAGAAGAATTGAGCTTGACGAATGTTTATGAATCAGAGGAGCTTCGAGGGGCGAAATCCCTCGGTCCCGCATTTGGCGGGGGAAGGCGGAATGTCAACACCGAACACGGCAATTGAGCGCAATTGGTCCAATGGGGTGGTTCTACAGTCAATTTGGCTTATACAAGCTAGAAATGCATTCTTTATGATAAACTATAGGCAAGGAACCGAGAAAAGGGTGATAAAAAAAAACAAAACGAGATTCCCATTGTCCCGAAGCTGAAAACACCTAAAGATAAAAAGATGACTGGATCATAAGAATCGTCTAACCTTGCCCTAAAGAAACATTTACTCGACAGTGACCGACTTGGCCAGGTTACGAGGGAAATCGACATTCAGTCCCTCGCCAACGGCAAGCCAGTAAGAGATCAGCTGCAATGGGATCACATTGAGCAGACCTTGAAGGCAATCCACAGTCTTGGGCACGTTGATCTTCTCGGTCAGGGCGGATGAGAACTCGGGGTCATCGTCGTTGCAGATGACAATGGGGCGACCACCACGAGCAATAACTTGCTGGTAGGCGTTCAAGGACTTAGTGAACAGGTTGTCACGGGTGAGAATCATGATAATGGGAAGGTTCTCGTCAACAAGAGCCAACACACCGTGCTTCAATTCACCCGACATGACAGCTTCGCAGTGGAGGTATGAGATTTCCTTGATCTTCAGGGCACCCTCGAGGGCAGTGGGGAATTGAGCACCACGGCCCAACAGTAGCAAGCTCTTCTGGTTCTTGAAGGACTGGGCACACAGCTCCTTGATCGGATCGTTGAGCTTCAAGATCTGCTTGAACTGCTCGGAGATCTTTCCAAGGCCCTCCATGATCTCCTCACGTCTTTCCTGCTTGGAGGCACGATCTTCACTCAGTGACAAAGCGAACATGACCATAGCCACAAATTGAGAGGTGTATGCCTTGGTAGAGGCCACACCGATCTCGGGACCAGCGTTAATGTGCACACCGCAGTGAGTGAGGAGAGAGATGGAAGATCCGACAACGTTGACACAACCAACGGTCAGGGCGCCACGTTCCAGACAGTAGCGAAGGGCCATCAGGGAATCAGCGGTCTCTCCAGACTGGGAGACAAACACACAGGTATCATCACGGAACACTGGAGCCTGTCGGTCAAGGAAGTCGGAGGCGAGCTCGACTGCGATAGGAATCTCAGTGAGCTCTTCAAAGATACCACGCACAGCCATGCATGAGTGGTAGCTGGTGCCGCAGGCAATGAAGATGATTCGTCGGCAGCGACGAATAGTCGAGATGTACTGGCGGAGACCACCGAGAGTGACCTTCTTGTTGGTCACATCCAGACGGCCTCTCATGGTGTTGACGACAGACTCGGGCTGCTCGAAGATTTCCTTCTGCATGAAGTGATCGAACTTGCCCTTCATGATCTCCTGCAGCTCGAGTTCAATGGTCTGAATGGCACGGACGTTGGAAGTGCCATCATCCTTGGTCAGACGGTGGATGTTGAGCTGTCCCTCGTGAATGTGGGCAATATCGTCATCCTCAAGGTAGAGGACCTTCTTGGTGTGCTCCACAATAGCAGATGGGTCAGAAGACAGGAAGAACTCGACGGGCTGGGGGATGCCATCGTCGGAGAGGAATGCACGAGACTGGGAGCGGTGCAGGAGGGACTTGTCAGGAGGGGCAAGAAGGCTTGTGGCAGACTTCTTGGCAGCCGCATTCTGGGAGGCCTGCTCCGCGGAAAGGACACCATCTTCGGAATATTCAACATCCACGAAATCCACCTTCATCTTCTTGGAGGTCTTCACACCGATGACCAGGGGCGAACCCTTACGGGCAGCAATGACCTCATGGGGGTAGTGAACGGACTTGAGCAGCAAACCAAAGGCACCCTCAAGCTCTTTGATGACTGCCTTGGCCAGGACTGTGAATTCGATGTCGGGGTGTTGGTCGTAGAGGTATTTGGCGAGCTTGGCAATGCACTCGGTATCGGTCTCGGTCTCGAAACGGAAGCCCTTGGTCTCCAGCAGAGCCTTCAATTCCTTATAGTTGGTGATGATACCGTTGTGGACGACGGCGAACTCCCAGTTGGCGTCAGAACTATCAACGATCCAATTAGCTTCTCCGTCTCTCAATGATCAAGTTTGGAGGACTTACCGGTGGGGGTGGCAGTTCTGGCGAGAGGGGGTACCGTGGGTAGCCCAACGGGTGTGAGAGATACCAGCATG